CCCCCCCAAGGTTAATGTTTGTATGTGGAGGGCATTGAGAGGCATTTTACCACTTTGTGAAATCTTGACGAAGAAGGGTGTGGAGCTTGATAATATTTGCCCGACTTGTGGTGCTGAAGGAGAGTCCCTTGAGCACGTCTTTATGGCTTGTCCTATGGCTGTTGCGGTCTGGAGCTATCTGAAGATTACTGTGGCGGCGCACGGCTGCTTTGTCTCTTAGGCAGAGGCGCTGTTCTCCAAAACCCAGGGCAGCCCTATTGCGCTGTTTGTGGCAGGTAACTGGGCAATATGGAAGGCTAGAAATGTAGCTTTATGGGAGAAGAAGGTAGTCAGGCCGCTTGTCGTGGCGGAGTGGGCAATAGCGGCGCTACTAACCACTGCGGCAGACCCGCCCCTTGCGTTGTCCTCGCATCAGGTGGCAGCGTGGGGGGGGGGGGGTTTCAAATGTATGGTGGATGCCGCTCTTCACGTGCGCTCACATTCGGTTGGCGTGGCAGCGGTCTTGTTGAGGGAGGATGGGTCCTTTGGGGGTGCCTTTAGTAGAATTGTTCGTTGTCCTTTTGAGGCTAGAGTAGGGGAGGCTTTCCCAATCAAGGAAGCATTGTCTTGGCTTAAGGAGAGGGGAGTCACAGAGGTTGCTTTATTTTCAGATTGTTTGCTGCTCATTCAGGCCTTAAACAGGAGGCAAGTTGATGACCGGTCGTATTTGGGAATTATTGAGAGCGAGTGTAGGCTCTTGGCCTCTTCTGTTTCACAGGTTCATTTCTGTTACTTTTCAAGGCGTTTGGAAAGTCAACCAAAATTACACCTTTCTTATTTTTCCCATCACATCAGGGGCAAAATTAGAAAGTCAACCAAAATTACACTTTCCTTATTTTCCCTAAAGTCAAAACCGGAAGGGTTTAAAATATTGAAGCTAAAAACTAAAGCTAATTTCAAACGCAAATTGAATCTATTTTCTCAAGTCTCAACACAAGAAAAAGATTTTTCTAAATTTCTTTCATCATATATAAAAATACACAGAAAACAATTTCGAGGAAATATTTTATTTCCTTCTTTATTCTACCAAAAACACCAAGACAATGGTAGGAAAAATTATTTTCATCTGGGGTGCACCCAAACACTGCATTAGAATTTAGAAGTGCTGACTGCTGAAGCTGAAATTAATTAATTAAAGAACAAACCGGTTATTATGGCAATTATTAAAGTGTGCTTCGTAATCATCAAAATTACTCGATTTACACACATAATATAGCATTAATTACTAATATACGGAGTAATTGACTTATTGTTAAAGCGGATAGAATATACTCTTAGGTGTTTGGAAGTTTGTTTGAAAAGAGTTTTTTAGTTTCAACTTGATTGAAACACAATTTTAATTGTTTTTCAATTAGCTTTAGATTATGGATTATGATTTTAGAAGTGTAAATTGTACTTTAAAAGTGATTTTCACCAAAATTCTTATTTAGCACATCTATTTTTTCAAGACTTACCGCACTCACAAACACCTTTTATCTCGATATTTACTGCATATTTATACTTACATACGGAGTATTTCGATATGAATATAATAAAATACACAATAGATTAAAGTGTATATAGTATATTAAAAAATAACATTTTTGTCATATTTTTATAATAAAAAATTATAAATCCCAATATTATAGAGTTTGTCATTTTTTAAAATTAATTTTGGTAATATACTCTAGTATTTATGTTGTTCTATAAAATATTGTCATTTGTACCTAAATAGAAATTCAACCCATTTAATATCTAAATAAGATTAAATACTGGAGTATTCATCACCTCTTGTTCGTCACCACCATTCCCCGTCGTTGGATTACTATAGCCTTGTTTGGGAAGAACTTTTTCAATTAGCGTTAGCATTTTGGATAAAATATTAACGGTGTAGATTAATTCGAAAATGCAAACGCTAAAGACTACCGTCAGATAGTCTTTTCAAAATGCTAGTATATCATTGGAATAATGAGCACCACATTCGAAACACTAAACTATGCAAAAAAAACATAATCTGTTATTGACAAATTATTTGTGTAGCTCAAATTTTAGATGTCATGTAATTTAGGTGTCTTTTCCATCATCTCCGATTGAGCCAAAATTTCACCATTTTTTGGCTTTGGGGTGTGATGAGATAAATCAAAATGGATCTCTAAATTATCTGCGCTTCTTTAATTAATGAAGTAGCAGTTAGTCAAACAATACAACTATCGACGTTGAGCCGGGGGTCTCTTTGGAAACATCTTCTCTACTTTCGAGTAGGGGTAAGGTCTGCGTATACACACCCTCCCCAGACCCTACTCTTGTGGGATTTAACTGGGTTGTTGTTGTTGTAATTTAGGTGTCATTGATAGTACAAATGACATTTCCCTTTATTCACATAGGTTGAGAGGATCTATGGGGAGGGTGAGGATTTCACTTTTCACTATGTATATATATTCAATCACATATATACATGCATGATGTATTATCATATATACCACACTATATTCATTCATACACCAAATCTTTATTTCCCCTATTCTTATTGATGGCTAACTGTTATGCTGATGATGAAGCAACATCTAGGATATCATATGAGATGCATGCAACAGCTCCCAGAGTTGCGCATGCATCCATTAGGGCCGCTGTTTCTAACAACAGCCCTAGAAGGAGAGAAAATCATCCTCACCAATACCACGGCATAAGTCGTCATCGAAATGGGACATGGGTTGCCCAAATTAAGTATCAGGGTGCACTCATTTCGCTGGGGACATACTCTACCCCTCATATGGCGGCTGCCGCGTATGACGCGGTGGCTTATGCCTTGCGAGGCAGTCTTGAGGAACTCAACTTTCCTGCTTTTGCCGAACACTACCCTTACCCCACATCCTCTGCTAAGGCGGACCTGAAACGGGTTGCTGCTCTAGCGGCTGCCATGATGGACCCACACGGTGTTGTGAGTACAACGAGCTGAGATTAAAGAATAAATAACATTGTGTTTGGTTCATGGATTTTGGTAGGGAAAGGAAAAGAAAATAGGAAGAAAATATTTTTTTTATTTGTTTTTTTGAATGTTATTGACTCTGTTACAATGTAATGTCTGTTTATACATTTCTAAACTTAATGACGCACAACAAACGCCTCTGCCTCTGCTGGAGCTCGGACCTGGGGGAACTATCCCATGAATTCTGAAAAGTGGGCTTCCGGTCCTTCCACTCAAGTCAGAGGAAAAGATCCCTTTTCATTTGTTTGGTCAGAGAGGAAAAGAAAAGTAGAATAAAAAGAAAATGAGAAAACAATATGTACTACGAGAAAGAAAAACCAAATTATTCTTATTTTAGTATGGAAAAGAGAGAAAATAATTTTTTTTATTCTAAATTCATTGAACCAAACATATGATAAGAGTTGATTCCATGATTGTTATTTTTAAATTAAACATGTACTACTGGTGTCCTCTCACTCTCGCTTTCTTTTTTCACCCATCCTTAAATAGTTTCTCTTCTTTTTTCTCCCTTTAATGCTTAATATATGGTCCCAAATATTTCTTTTCTTCTAAAAAATTCTAAGCACAACTTTAATTTCCCGTGTTTAACTTTTTCCAAATACTTTTCTATATGTCTGTGAAATCAATTAGACAAATTAATTTGAGATCAAGAGAGTGTAAAATTAATTAATATACATAATTGATAAATCAAGGAAGAGTTATTTCAAATAATCCTAACCATTTGTGTTCTTCCAAACACAATTTTACTCTTCTCATCTTTGAAATAATTACATCTTTTCTCTTGATTTTCAAAATAACGAATTTTTCGATAGTTCAGTACTAATTTTTTCTGCAAAATAACGATACAAAAGTTGTGAAAATTGTACAAAAATTATTTTTCTCCAAAATGGCACTAATTATATTTATAACTCACGACAACTTTTCTATATTGTAATTTCTTTCTCGAGCGATACTCTAAATTATATTTTTGATAATCCACTATTATACTTCTCCTAACACAGAATACAAAGTTTGTAAATGTTATATTTTATACAAAAAATTGAAATAAATCTCTAACAAGAATGTACTGTTATATTTTTGAAAACATAAATTTTAATTTTTAAATTAAAAAAAGAAAAAAGATAGTTCATCTAAAATAATCTCATCTTTCACTTATTTGCAAAAAACATTCACTTATTTGCAAAAAAAACATACATTTTCCAAAACTACTGTTAAGTGACTATTAGCTTATTAATGGTGACCCAAAACTCACACACCTCTAGAAAGGTGAAATTATTTCTCGTGGCACTAGCAAGTGAGATTATTTTTTGGGAAAATGTGGAAAGATGATATTATTTAAGTTTTTTTTGAACACTAATAATAACTGTATTATAATGTAGCTAGTGAATAAATACTAGCTATTCGGTAAACCGAAAATTCGGTTATTAATTTTCTATACCGAATACTGAACCGACATTAAATTAATTGGTTCGGTGACTTCGGTCCAAACCGAAATAAATCGGTTTGTAAATGGTTTTTACCAAAAACCGAAATTAATTTTTTTTTTTTGTGTTCAAAACTTCAAATGGGGAAATGAATTGTGAACACATAGACATGTGAACAAGTGGGGAAATGAACTCTGAACCCCGTAATTTAGGTATATGAATTGTGAACACATTACACATAGACAAAAAAGTGAAAAAATCACAAATAAAATCAAAATTGCAGAAATCGGAGGGGACGAAGAAAGTAGCGCGATCGAAGAAGCCAGCCCAGCACGATGAAGAAGGCAGCAGGGGGGCATGATGAGGGCATCACAAATTATTTGGTTCGGTTTCGGTACGTACCAAAATGTTCGGTTTCGGCATGGTTCGGTCGGTTTACCAAAGGATGTTCACCCCTAATTTATTCATACATTCTCAATCTATTAAAGCTCGTAGAGAAACAATTGAACATCATATCACTTATCTTGATCAACTCTGAAATGTTCGATCTAACACATGTCCCTATTAAGACAAGATATCCCTCGTAAACGTGATAGGCGGGTGACCAGCAAGCACGACCACATCTTCCTGAAATGGTTTCAAGAGTATGTTCATTGGAAAACATTACAATCTCCTGATCTTGTCACACAAAATGTGCGATCGTTAGCCGTGAGACCGTCTGAAATGTATCCTCTGACGAGGGGTACTATATGAACAACTATTATTTCTATACAAAATGTCAAGATGACAAGAGTATAATAGAGAATAGTGATATGTCCTTGAATACTTCTTCTGACACACTCCTAAGGATAAAGATTCCACACCAGTCCCATTATACAAAACATACTATGTCGTGATTGAGGATATATGGAAACTTTAATATACAAATTTCACAATTCCTGTGTTTCAATGTAAACAGGTGGATATCAACAAAGAGATTAAATCAAATGAAATGGGATTTCAAAACATTCTTTAACACTTGTGTTTTATGCCATTAGTCAGCGAACAAGAACCGGCAGAAAAAAGAACTTTTATCAGCATTATCTGGGTCGGGGAGGATATTCATATTATTTTCTTCTCCACAAAACCCTTCAAAGCAATGCCAATTTCTTCAATACATGGGAAGGGACACTACCCCTTACAAATGTACTATACAATTTAAAATGGAGCAACCGTTTTAACCACGTGAAATTTGCACTGAATAGTACTAAAATATAAGTCATTTTTCAATGTAGGACTTAAAATTTTTTATTTCCTAAATAAGACTTAATAATAACTAGTGAGAAAATAATGCCCATGTGATACTGAACAATGACTAATAAATAATGACCAATGGTCCTACATTAAAAAATAAAAACATATCATCTTAAATTGGAAAAGTCATTATATTTTAATCTTATTTCAGTACATTACCGTTAACCATAACAGCCCATTTAATAGAAAATTAATTGAAGAAAGTCGAGAAAGGTTTCGATCAAGGGTGTCGAGTGATGAGTGATGACAGAGATGACGATTGACGACTTCCTCTCTCTGCCATGAGGTTTAGAAAGTCAAAAATCTAGTTGGACCACAAAAAAAATATTGGAGCCATTAAGTAATTTGGGCTTCACATTAATATTTTTCTGAAGTTATGATTTGGACTCACTAATCCATGTAAATTAATATTTTAACTCGTACCACGCATGAAATCGAATAAAATTTTTGTCATTTTTAAAAAATTTCTTAAATGTCTTAAGTTTATGTTATTTAAGTTTCTCATTCTTAGTCTGTTTAGTTGAAAAAATATTTTCCTAGAAATTTTGACTCTATTTTATCATGTTAGGTTGCATAAGTCGTAAAAAATCATTTTTTCAGAAAAATAATTTTTCTAAGAGGAGAAATTGACTTTTCTTTATTTTGATTGAAAGATTGTATTTTACTCAATCCTCAGATACTGTGAATCCGCGGTCGAGTTCTTTTCCCCCACCCGCCCCTCATCCCCCTTCACCCCTGATCATCTTCTCCCCCTGCCCGCCCCTCCCCCCGTCTGCCTCCTAAAAATGGAACACTATAAGAAAATTTGAAATCGATCATGTATATAAAAAATTATGCCCCTAAAATATTTAAAATTATTTCAAAGTATCTTCGTTTTTAATTCAAATATCAGCAATGTTTTAATAATATATGTAGAGGAGAACAAATTTTTGTGATAATGATTTTTTCCTAGAATAATTATCTAGACATATATTTTTCCATAACCAAATGTACTCTTAACTTTCAATATTTCCCAATTTTGTATTAGTTTTGAACTTTTTTTAATTTCTTCCAACACTTTCTAGTTTCTCCCAATTTAATGTTTTTAACTTTTTCCATCATTTTCAAATTTGTTTCTACTTTTTCTAGTGTCATCTAACATCTTCTTATTCCTTTCAATAGTGATTTAAAAGTATTTGCATGCGTTTTTTATATAATAATAATTATTATTATTATTAAAATTATTATTATTATTATTACAATTACAATTATTAAAATGGTTCTAGAGTCACTCGCTCTCGGTGAGAGGGTTTATCAGAATGTCAAGGGTAAGAACCATCAATTTGTGAAGAGAGCAACATATACACTTTAATTGAAGTTAGTGTCATCCTGAACCACTCAAAGTTGAATGGATGTAAAACCCCTACATATTATTATTATTATTAGTAGTAGTAGTGATAGTAATAATTATAATAACAATAGTAATAATAATTATAGTCATTATAATAGTAATAGTAATTATAAATGTAATAATAATAATAATAGTAATAATAATAATAGTAATGATAATAATAGTAATAATAAATATTTTAATAATAATAGTAATAATAATAGTAACAATAATATTACTAATATTAATAGTAGTAATAATAATAACGATAGTAATAATAATTATAATAATAATATTAATAGTAATAGTAATAATAGTGGTAATAATAGTAATAATAATAGTAATAATTATAATAAAAATAATATTATTAATTTTGTTTAGGTCTGATTTGATCTGATCCGATCTGATTGGATATGATCTGATATTATTGAATCTGATCTGGTCTGATCAAGTTAGTTTAGAATGCAAACTAAATATTGTGAAATTTGCACTAAACATTACTAAAATATATGTCGTTTTGTAATGTAGTACTTAAACTTTTTTATGTCCTAAATAGTCTTCGAATAATGTGTGGTGGTGGGAATAATGTCCAGTAACGGTAGACATTTAGTTTGAACAATGTCCAGTGGCGTTGGACATTTACTTGAACAATGACTACTAGATATTAATCATTGTTACTACATTAAAAAACATATAATACAACATTAGAAAAGTTAGTACTCCCACCGTCCAAGAATTAACTTCCCGGTTTGACGAGACACGCATATTAATGTGTGATAAAAATTATGTTGACTTTTCTATCAGGATTGTGATAGATTTTTTTGGATTCTAAAAATCCGTATGTATTCAATTCAGAATTTAAAAAGTCATGTAAAATCTGAGTGTATTCAATTTAAATTTTAAAAAATCCTTCTAAATATTATGATATTCAAAAAAGATACTCCCTCCGTCCAAGAATAAACTTCCTACTCTACCTTTTTTTTTGTCCGGAAAAAATCTTCCTACTCTACTTTTTCATACCCACTCTTCCAAAATTACCCTTCATTCTCCTTCCCATCTCCCCCTCTCTTTTCTGCTCTCCGCACCGTCCGCAACCCCCTTCTCTATCTTTTCTTCTTTCCTACTTATCTATCTCTCTCTTCCCCCTCTCATTCTTTTTCTTTTCTCAAGATTTCCTTTCTTCTCCATAGCCAAATCTGGCTTATCTTCATCACAC